CTGCTGGGAGGAGTGTAAACTTATATAGTCACTTTGAAAATTAATATGGAGGCTTCTCAAAAAATTGGAAATTAATCTACCTCAAGACCCAATGATACCACTCCTGAGCATATACCCGAAGGATAATCCATAGCACAAGGACACTTGCACAACAATGTTCATAGCAGCATCATTTGTAATAGTAACACCTGAAAACAACCTGGATGCCCCTCACTGAAGAATGTATAAAAAATGTTTTACATATACACAATGGAGTATCACTAAGCTGTATAAAACAATAGCATTCTGACATCTGCAGATGAATGGAACTAGACCTAAGCATCCTGAGTGAAAGACAAACACGGTATATACTCACTTATAAGTGGATATTAGATGTAAAAGAAAGGGTAACCAGAGTATAATCCACAGATCCAGAGAAGCTAGGAAACATGGAAGAACCTAAGGGCGACACATGGATCACTCAGAAAAGGGGAATTAGATAACATCTCCTGCGCAAATGGGTCGTAAATAGGAGGGGGTGGAAAATAGGAACATGAGGAAATGGGATGATTGAGTGAAGATGAGGAGAAGGATGAAATGGGGAAACAATGAAAGAGATAGCCACGATTTGGTTATGGAGATACTTGGTGCTAGGAAAATTCCCAAGAATCCATAAGGATGACCCCAGCTAAGACTCCTAGCAATAGAGGAGAGCGAGCCCAAACTGTCCTTTCCCTGGAATCAGATTAATGAATGCTCCAACTATCATCATAGAACCTTTACCCAGTAACAGATGAAACCAGATGCAGAGATCCACATCAGGCACCAAACCAAGCTCCTGGAATCCAATCAAAGAAAAGGAGGAGAGAATATATGAGCTAGGAATGTCCAGATTGTGATGGAGAAATCTAGAGACAGCTGAACAAAGCTCATGGTAACCCATGAAACTCTAGACTGACAGCTTTAGAGTCTTCATAGGATTGAACTAGGCCCTCCAAATGCGGGAGAGAGTGGTGTAACTTGGACTATCTGTGAGGCACCTGGTAGTAAGACCAGGATCTATCCTTGAGCTAGCATGTTGGGGCTTATTCTCTATAGTTGGATGCCATGACAAAACTTAATGCAGGGTGAGGGGCTTGGTACTGCCCCACAACGCATCAGACTTTGTTGACATCCCATGGGAACCCTTCCCCATTGGAAGAAGTAGATGAGGGGTGGGCTAGTGAGGGGAGACAGGGGCAGGATGAGGGCTGTAGGGGAAAACTGTGGAAGCAATGTAAATTGAAATTTAAAAAATAAATTAAAATTTAAAATAAAAAGAATGAAAGTATTTGTTCTGCAATTATTCAGTTTCAATTAACACAATTGTATATTGTGCCTGATAAAGTAGATACTTTATTTATTGCATGATGATGAGAATAAAAAAATAAACCAAATTTTAAAATCATAATTTTTTATCTTTCAGTGCATATGCATATCTATGAACAAAAATAAGAGGTGTTAATAATGTAGCTCACTGAAATAAAGTTCAAGAGCCCAGACACAATACCCTGTAACCCCATGAACAGAAACAGATTTTTCTACTTAATTTTTAAGTCATAATCATTTAGTATAGTACCTAAAACAGGAAACTACTCAATAAATCTTGCAATCAAGTCTAACCAAGTACTGCAAAAGAGACTTTGTACTGAAAAGTAGCACTAACATTGTTATCAGAGTTATAATGATAACTTTTCAAGTAAACTATTGTTTACAATGTCACTAGTATGTGAAAGGTTCTGGATAGAATCATTTATTTTTTGCCTTAAATAAGAATATTTAAATAATTTATTGTGACTCAGTTTTTAAATCTTAGATTAAAACAGTAGTATCTCATGATGTTTCATCTATTTAAGCTAAACTGAAAATGTTTACCAATTAATTATATTAAAAAATGTCATCCCGACCTTTCTTTGTGTGATCTGAAAATAATAACTATCCACAGGCATATTCGACAGCAATGACTTTTAAACCAGTAATATGATGATTTGCTTATCTCCTACATCATGAACATATATTACAATTCAATTTCTCATAGTATACACTTCAATTTAAAACTAAACTTTTCCCAGTGCATAAATGATCTCAGAGAAAGAATTAAAAAAAAAACTTACATCAGATAATTATAAGTCCATAATATTTTTTTTTCAGAGAACTGCAGGAGCTAATTAAATGCGTTGCTTCACCTCAAGGGCTAGTTCAGAGAGTGTGGAGAAAGGAATATTCTACATGAGCTCTATAAGGAACCCTGGTATTATGCAATGAGGCATAGGAAGAATTGCCTTCGAACACTTGAGGGAAAACAACACTAGCGATTGGTACAATTAAATTCTACTTATTTTACAAAATCCTATTTCTTCTTGTTCTGCCTGATCAAGTTTTCTGCCTACCTTTTTTCCCTTAAGACACAAAAGCTTTCTTTTGACGAGAGGCCCAACTGAACAATTTAGCACTACTATTAATAAAGTAAAAAAAATAATTTTCTATAGATGTTATTTCGTTGTTGACTGACTTCTTTGAGTGGTCTGATTTCTTTAGTTTTTGTAAAGGTTCCAGAAGTTTATCTCACAGCAATTCTAATCTCAGGCTCTCTCTGATTTTGGTGGAGATAACCAGAGACTCATAGAACATCTTTTCATTTTAATTGTTGATTGGTAATTGAGAAAATTATCAAGATAATTGAGAAAATTATCCTAAAGGCCACTTTAGGATCAGAGCAAAATATTATTCTCTTAGTGGTATGAATAAGGAAAAGAGTTTAAAACAGCGAGAGTTCATGATAAATAGTTATAGACTATGCTGTTATGTACTTGCATAATTAAAGCAAAATCTTCACAAAGAAAAAGTTAAATAAATATCAACCACGTGTAGAAGTGCAGAGAGACATAAAATGACTACAAAGGATCACCCACTCAACTGAGTTCCTATTTTGTAGGACATTGCAACAACAGTCAACAATGTTCTCGTACTTTTGACAGACACGTCTTAAAAGTGCAAATGTTTTGTCTGAGGAATCAACATTCAGTTGTCTGGGACAAAAGTAAATCTTAGCCAGAATTTAACTTTCATGTGGCAACTTAAGTTATTTCTACTAATGAAAACTTGTGTTCAGATGCATTGACTGCTGGAGAGTCCATTGTAAATTAAGTCCAGTTACTATGATTACTCTGGACTCACAGCCTGTCTTCAGTGTTCTGCATTGAGCTACTGGGTCTACAGCTTGCTGATGTATTTCTGCTGTGCTCACCTGACTACTGACTCTCTACCATGCAGAATAAGAAGAGCACTTGACATGATGAGGGGAAAAGAGGGAGTTGTTCTTTCCTCTTAGCTTCCTGTTCCTGCTTTTGCTTCCCAGCTGCTCACAGTGACGTTTTTCACCTGATAGTGGCATTTCATTTCAGTAGCAGGAGTGACTTATTTCAGTTTGCACTTTTCCCAGCACTTTTCAGAACCACGCTCATGGTACTGCATCAGAGACACTAGTCTCTGCGTGAGCAGTTTCTCCTCCTCAGACTCCTGGGATTCTGCTTTGCAGATTTCCCTTTATCCTAATTTCAGAACATTATAATCTGAGCCTTCAGGAGGACCGTCTTGTAGTTAGCATCAGTTCATACTAAGTGTACCCCTTATACACCCTCAGACCTCTCATAAGTGGTATCATATCTTTATAGAAATATTTTGAGACAAGCACAATCCACTAACAATGACAGCAAGAAACAAGCAGCCTCAGGGCTTCTATGTCCTTGGTGGGTCCTGTGAAGGACTCATAAGTCATCATTACAGATTAATAAATAATTACTTAAATCCTATTGTGCACACATTTTGTTTATTGACACATAAAATCAATGTATGAATATTAATGATTTTTTCAGATGTATTTCAATTTCTAGGGGTCATTACAAATGAAAGCAAAGCAGTATATAAAACTGTACCTTGTGGGAGAAGGTAGCCTGATCCTGGTCTTCTAATGTTTTCTTGGTCATCAGCAGGTCCTTTGGTAGGAGACCTTTCCATTCTTTTCGGTAGTCTCACTGACATAAGTAATATTTTATTTATTTGGAAATAGCTATTTATCTCTTTTACCCTTAAATATGCTGCCATATTCCTTAATGATACAGTTCTCAGAAATCTCTGGACTTCACTCTCAGAAATGTGAGTTTTCTCATAAATTACCTTCCTTAAGGCTTACCTCCAAAAGTTGTTTTCTGTTCACATGTTCCTGTTCTACTTCAAATTTCACTGCCAACTTTGGAACAGGAGTTCCATGACTAAAATTTGTACTTATCACACTTCCTGTATACAATACCAAGCCTGTTTCATGTTTTGCACAAAGGCAGAATGACTAAATGAATAGGTAATTTTGTCACAACCAATAAATTCCATAACCATACAACTCCCTATTCTGAACTTTAATCCTCTTGCTCCCCTACTCCCATACTTAAATTATACTACAGACATTAACCTTGTTTGTACCTATTTGTTTAAGTCGCATTTTACAGTGACTGGATCTACTTTACATATATAAAAGTACTTATAGTAAACCTTGGGGTCATTACAGTGATGAAGTTGTGCTTGATTTAATTTAGTATAAGAACTTTCTGTTGTATTCTGATTCCTTGGAAAATTGATAACCTTCTTATATATTGTACATGATAATCCTGTATTAATTAAAAATCTGTTTGAGAAAAATAGTACCTTTGCTATGTACAAGACATAGCAGAGAGTTCACGCTGTAATTAAATCCCTGTCAAATTATTAAACTCAATTAATCTAATTTTAATCTGCCATTACATTGTTACAAAAGTCTTGTATAACTCTTATATTTATAATGCCATTGTTTTAAATGAAATTGCATTATAAGTTATTTTACTGTGCCTATGTTTTCTAAATTTCTCACTTAACTTCTTTCATGTATTTTTGATGGGAAAAAAATTTTAAAAGGACTAATGATTTTTCTGGACTCTCTATCTTACCTTCAGAACAAGATGCTGAAGACCTTAGTGCTATGACATTGGCTTAGTATGTGAAAAGAAAACTTGCCCAAGAAATCAGGTCAGCACCTAAAACTCTAGTTTAAGCAGTATCTTTCATTGATTTGGGAGTACTATAATTTTCACCTATTGCCTGGATGGTTTGAATGCAAAACAATATGATACATAAACGTACTTAGAAAATGACAGTATAAATCCAAAACAAATGAAATCTACCTCATATTTAGGTTGAACACTCCCTGAAGTAGCCATACAGTGTTTCCCGTGCTCTCAGCCCCACACAGTGACTTCTGTAGGACTACTAGCTCTTTTGTATTCTCCAAGTGCCTCCGATAAGGATAAAATTTTACTGTCTAAATAACTTTCTAGATGACATTAAGATTACTAAGCAATTCTTTTCTATAGTTATAAACAGTACTAAAACTTCCTCCTACAGCCATTCCAGGAAAATACAATTTCTACTCTCTCTAATAAATTCTCTTTAGGCACTCTTTCTCTGTTTCCTTTACAGACAAAATTAATCCTCAAATTCAAGAGTTTTCAACACTTTCCTCCCAATGACTTTTCTTTTAAACTACTCCACCACTCAAGTACCATATCGTTCCATTCTGTCATTTTTCAGTCAAGAATAATTTCTACATTGCTAAAACTAGGAAGCATTGATAATTATGTACTCTTGAGCAAAGTAATATCGTTAGTTGTCTTCAGTGTGCCCCCAGGCAATGCTCATGATTTCCTCTCTGCAGTCTATTATACCACAATTCCTCATGTTCCAACATGTTCACGTTCCAACATGTTCACCCTCTAAAGGAGGCATGACTGGGCCTCTGATATTTTACATATTCACCATTCTTTTGATACTTCACTCAGTATCATTACTATAAGCATCATTTATAAACTGACAACTCTTTAATGTAATTCTCCTGATATTGTTGTCTCCTGTGGTCACCTGCATAGTATGTTTCCACTTAATGACAGAATTTCAGATTTACCACGTTTATCAGAGAATTTCTGCTGTTACCACTTTTTAGAAAATAGGTTATGTTTTTGTTGTTTATGTTCAACTTTATTTACTCATCCATTGTCTAATCTACAAATCTAAAATTATTATGTTTTTCACCCTGAGAATTAATCCACAATGAATTCACTTCTCATTAAGGTGACTTCATCCAAGCTATCAATCAAAAATATGTACTTTGTTTCTTTGTTTCTTGTCCCTTCTGCTCTATTCTGGTCTCAGTGTAGCAGCTAGGGTAACTTTATAAAATATGGGCATCTGTATTGCTAGTCTGCATAAGACACTACCTCTACAGTTGCAGTGAAAGCCGATGTTTTTCTAATTGTGTACAATGTATTTTGTGATCTGGGCCAGCATTATTTATCCAAACTTATGGTTTTTTTTCTTCAATTCAACAGCTCATACCATTTTAAACATGTTAGCATATCTGCTATTCCTTAAAATACTGAGGGTTTTCCTGTCTCACTTTTTGGAGTCTTCATGGTTCTTTTCTGAAGTTCACTTTGGAAGCAAAGCTTGTTCTTTTTTTATGCTAAAAGTTGCAAATTCACTACTTGTCAGTCCTCTTGTTTTCTTATGATATTATTACACATTCTCACATTTGATTAGACACCTGAGAGCGAAATAGAAAATATGTGTTCGTCAGTTCATTCTCTATAGCATTGTAAAGTGCATTTTCAAGTCCTAGAAGAATGTATATGCAGATCACAAAAGAAATGCAGTAAATACATGATGATTAGGGATGTAAAATGGGATTGTTGAAAACATTAAAGTATGTCTAAAATAATGGAAACAAGACTATTCCTATGACCTTAGTGATTTTCTACTGCAAATAGGAGAGTTTCCTACATTATAAGTAATTTTGATCTTATAAAGGTAGGTAAATTTTTAAGAAGCTTGGATATGCAAGCAGAGATGACATTAAGAAATCCTTTAAATAGACTCTCTTATGGTGTACTAAATTCAAAACTGGATTCTGTCCAATTGATTTAAAAGGCTATTGATAGACTAGTTAGGGAATCAAGAGAAGGAAAACTAATGCTATATATACAGGTTAAAGCTTTCCCTAGAGTCTGCTCTTTCCTTTACAAGATAAAGAAGAATTTGCTCTTAGGAAGTAGGTTTCAAGAGAGTAAGTTTATGTGATGTGTAGGTAAAATTCAATAAACTTTAAAAGGATTACATACAACTAGTTTTTCATAGTGCTTAGTGCTAAATGTGCACTTATTAATATTTATTGCACTCATTATTTATTTAATTACAGTGATAAAATTCTATAACAAGATCCAGGTATGCAATAATAATAACCTGAAGAATGTTGATCTTGAAAGGGAAAAGTACAGACAACATAAAACTGTCTCTATTTATTTTCCCAAAAGAGTATTCTGTGAAATTAAAAACCTGAATTGTTGAGTTCATGCTCTCATATTTTCAAAACACTGAAGACAAAATATACAAATTAATTGAACTTTAAAATTTACAATTCTACAGTGGTATGCAAATCCATACAATTATTTTTATCAGAAGTTTTGATTTAAGTTTTCTAAAAATTCCAAATTGACCTTAAATCCTTACCAATTATGTGACTTTTTTATAAGGGAGATTATGTCGCGACAATGTGGTTAATTGCTAAGAACTCTAAAGTCTTTTAGAACAGGGAACTCAAGTACGACACAGCAAGAGAGCTGAACAGCATTGAAGCATTGTGATGGCTTCTGTTGTCCCAATTCAAGTGCCCAGGGTGACTCCAGGACCCTTATTGGCAACTTTGAAAGCTAAATACAATTGCAGTTATGTTTAGATTGTAAGGTGACCACGTGACAAAGCACCCAGATATTTCACCAAATACTCTTCTATGTATGTCTGAGGGTGTACCTGAAAAGAGAAAAATATTTGGATTGAATTGATCATCTATCCTGAGTAAAGTAGATTGCTCCTATAAAATAAGCATCCTCACACAAGTTGATGAACATCTAATCAAATGATCTTCAAGTGAATAGCAAGAATGTCTTCAGGTCAGATTATCATGTTATGATATCAACCTTATCTTGCCTTCTCATTCAAATGAAAGCTTTTGTTTGTTGTTTTTGGTTTTGTGGGGGGTTTGTTTGTTTGTTTGTTTATTTGCTTATTTTTTGGCTTTCCAACATTTTACATGATTGCTAGAGAACACACTCAACACCAGCATTTTTACAGCTTAGAATTTTCAGAAAAATCACCAGCTTTCCAGTTATATATAGTTATATCATATTTTAAAATTATTTATATTTTGTATCATTATCATATAGTATACTATATATCCTATATATAGCAAATACCCAGATGAAAGAATTCAGTTTACACACACACACACACACAAACACCATATAAATACACCACCCATATGAAAAAAATGGTTTCTTTTTCTTCCAGATATATATCAATTAACAAACTTAGATTTCCAGGTACATTGTTCTACACACCCATAGATGCTTATCTGTTCACAATAATTTTAGTTTATCAGAAATGTAGTGACATTTCATTTCTTTTAATAAATAGAGCTTGCCTAAGGATCAGACCAGGCAACGAGGACACACACCTTTAATCACAGTAGCCACACTAGCTAACCAGAGAAACCAGGCAGTAGTGGTGCACAGCCTTATCCCAGAACTAGAGAGGATTATAAAATGGGAGGAGACAACTCTCAGGTTCAATCTCATTCTGTGATTCCTGGAGGCAGGAATACAATTTTGGACTGAGGTAGAAGTATAAACCAGTGACAGACTATTTTGCCTTTCTGGCCATCATGATGAACTCCAACATCTGTCTGTAAGTTTATATTCGTGCTACACAGAACATTTAAAAACTCTTCACAAAGTAAAAGGAAAGTTGAGCTCAGTACACAGCAAAATATTTGGCTCCTATTTCTTAATTTTGAATAAAATTTATCTTACATTATTAACAAGTGATCAATGAGGTTTTCTTTAATGGTGCACTTGCTATTGGATTTTGGAATGTGATTAGGACATGAAAGGTGAAAAATACTGACAACCTATTTTCCTGCTTATTTAAAATGAAGCTTCACATTTTCATTATAAAATGGACTATAGACTCTGAAATTTTATATAGTTGGATGTCTGTATCATGATGTGATGTTCATAATCTGATGTCTTGAACAAATTGGATGAAATATAGAATAGTAATGAAAATATGAACCCATCAAAGTGATAGCATGCTTGCCGTGGTGGTAATCATCTTTAATTCCAGCACTAGGGAGACAGACAGAGGGAACTGTGTGAGATCATGATAAGTCTGTTTTACAAAGCAATTCCTAGACAGCTATGGCTGCAAATTAAGACTTTCTCTAAACAACAACAAAAGTGGCATAAAATCATAGAAGACACTCCACGGAATGGAGATGGCCTGGGATAATATGGTAAGAATTCTCTGAATTTCTCTTGCAGGGTTTCTTTTATAAATTTAGGAAAAGGGGGAAGGTGCTCCAAGGGTTAGGAATGGGTATATCATTGCACTGAGAGGCAGGATTTTTAGACTATATGCAAGAGTGTAGACCGTATGACCTTTCAGCATCTGCATGCTAACAAGAGCTGGTAAGGGAAAGTACATTCAAGAACAGGGCACCTTCACTCAGCTTGCACTCAGCACTGGTTTAGGTCAGCCTTACTGATCTCTCTTTTTACCTGGAATTCCCTGACCCAAATTAGCCCCAGGAGAAGACTGCTGCCCTAACGAGCACAGGGACAGACACTTTTCAGATGAGTTAGTCTGAGTTGAGAGTTGTTCTTCTGCTGTCCCACTTCACCAGGAACAGAAGAAATAGCAAGAGAGAAGAGAGAATGAAAGTAGGACGAGATGAGGACAAAATGGGGGCAAAGTCACACTGACCCATTGCCAGGAAACAGGCCATGTGCCAAGTGTTTGATTTCACCTAATTGACCTCATACTGATCAGAAAATACCATAACAATACAAATGTTGTCTCACAGGCTAGGCTCCATTGCTACACAGCCCATTAAACACACAGAAGTCAAACTGGTACCTTAA